GGTCCCTGACTACGCGAAGGGAGTCAGGAAGGCGAGTGACTATGTAGTAAAGAGTGATGTACATGGGGGGGGGGTTCCTGGCGCAGAAGTCAGGAGGGAGTGCAGCGCGGTAGCGAGTGTCACTAGTGCGGAGGTGCGTAATGAGGTCAGTGACTGTGGGAAAGGCAGTAAGATCAGGAAAGAGGTACGGTAGCATGAGACGGCTCAGTGCAGCAGTGGCAGGGGAGGAGTAGCGCGCAACTACAGCGTCGTACAAGGTCTGAGCACTCTTGTACTGACTAAAGTGCGCATGCTCGGAGGTAGGGAGGTGGCGACGCACAGCAAGACGTGCAGCAGCGTCGCGCGTGGCCCACTGGGAGCGAACAGTGGCGTCAGCATCAGCAGCAGGGGCAGTGGAGGTGCCAGAGGTGAGGTCAAAGAGAGAGAGGCCGTCTGCCCTATCGCACTGTAAGAACAGCTGCAGGTCATCTACCCAGACCTCAAAGTCAATGGCCCTACCCTCAGCGTCAAAGGCGAGAACACTAGGGGTAGCCATGACCCTAGACGACTAGCAGCGCAAACAGTGGGGTGAGGACAGTGCAGTGAAAAGGCGCTGTGCTCACCAGACTGGGCAGGTCGGGCGGCCCTGAAGGAGGGCGGCGCGGCGGCTCGGCGGCTCAGCTGCTGGGTGGCCCGGCGGCTCGGCGGCTCCGCTGCTGGGCGGCTCGGCTGCTGGGCGGCTCGGCTGCTGGGCGGCGCGGCCGCTGGGCGGCTCGGCTGCTGGGCGGCTCGGCTGCTGGGCAGCTCGGCTGCTGGGCGGCTCGGCGGCTCGGCTGCTGGGCGGCTCGGCTGCTGGGCGGCTCGGCTGTGCTGCTGCAGGGCACGGGGCCGCAGGTAAGGGCGGCGGGGCCGCTGGTAAGGGCGGCGTGGCCGCGGGTAGGGTGGCGGGGCCGCAGATAGGGTGGCGGGGCCGCAGCAGAGGGCGGCGGGGCCGCAGGTAAGGTGGCGGGGCCGCAGGTAAGGTGGCGGGGCCGCAGGTAAGGTGGCGGGGCCGCAGCAGAGGGCGGCGGGGCCGCAGGTAAGGTGGCGGGGCCGCAGGTAAGGTGGCGGGGCCGCGAGGAAGGGCGGCGGGGCCGCTAGGTAGGGCGGCGGGGCCGCGCGATGGGGCGGCGGGGCCGCGCGATGGGGTGGCGGGGCCGCGCGATGGGGTGGCGGGGCCGCGAGGAAGGGCGGCGGGGCCGCGCGATGGGGCGGCGGGGCCGCGCGATGGGGCGGCGAGGCCGCGCGATGGGGCGGCGGGGCCGCTAGGTAGGGCGGCGGGGCCGCTAGATAGGGCGGCGGGGCCGCGCGATGGGGCGGCGGGGCCGAGATGGGGCGGCGGGGCCGCTAGGTAGGGCGGCGGGGCCGCGCAATGGGGCGGCGAGGCCGCGAGGTAGGGCGGCGGGGCCGCTAGGTAGGGCGGCGGGGCCGCTAGGAGAGAGGCGGCGGGGCCGCGAAGACGGGCGGCGGGGCCGCGGAGACGGGTGGCGGGGCCGCAGTGCAGGGCCGCTAGGGCGGCTCGACGAAGTGAGGGCCCGGAGCGCGACTCGGGCTGAGCGCGCTTCGGGCAGGAAAAAAAAAAAAAAATCGATGTGGTGGGCCCTAAGCACAGTTCCCAAGGGGGAACCTGCTCTGATACCATGAGAAGATTTGAACAAGAATGGATGAACTATGAAATGAAGTGAGTACAAATATGAAACCCTAATTGGTTGTACCCCCTATGGGATACCCCACTATAGCCTACACAACAGCATAAGCTATAATGTTCTGACAGCATCGGCTTCAAGCAACTACCGCACGATCAGGGCATGTACCGGCTTACGAAAGGCACCGACTATATCCTGCTAATCGTCTATGTAGACGATCTGCTCTACATCGGCTCGACTGACGGTGTCACAACCTGGTTCAAAGGGGAGCTGCAGCAAGACCTCACGCTCACGGTCTCATCTACCGTCACACAGTACCTCGGCCTCAACATCCGGGAAGAGGAAGACGCGATCTATCTCAGCGCCGCGAAATACGCCGACACCATCGCCAAGCGCTTCGCACTCACACCGACCGACATCTCCACGCCATACCGCTACACGGCAGGAAATCACAAGGCTCCGCCCTACTCAAGCCCGCCGGCATACGCGACTACCAGAGGAAGCTGGGATGCCTCCTCTTCGCAGCTGTCACCTGCCGCCCGGACCTATCATACTCTGCAAGTCAGCTCGCCACCTACCTCAAGAAGCCTGAAGCGGAACATCTGGCGGAGCTCGATCGCGCTCTTCACTACCTTGTCAGCACTCCGACAATCGGCCTGACCTGCCATAAAAACTCGACTACAGCACCTAAACTAATCGGCTATGTCGACGCCGATCACGCCGACGACTCCGACAACAGGCGCTCCCGCACCGGCTACGTCTACCGCTTCGAGCCTATCGGTCCCATCTCCTGGCAGTCGAGCAAGCAGGAATTAATCGCTCTCTCCTCAGCTGAAGAAGAATATATCGCACTCTGCTCAGCCACCAAGGAAGGACTGTACCTTCGCGAACTCCTGGAGGAAGCCAAGCTAGCCCAGTTACCGAACTTCACCCTGTTCTGCGACAACCAGTCAGCCATTCGCATAGCCAACAAGAACGGCTTCGCGAACAGGACGAAACACATCGCCCTGCGATATTTCTTCGTGAAGGACGAGATCGAGAAGGGGAGACTCGAGCTGTCATACTGCCCCACGTCCGAGATGGCAGCTGATTACTTGACCAAGAAGCTCGGAAAACAGAAGTTCGAGTACTGCATGCTGCTGACTGGACAGAGCCACGTCACCAACTGCGACACTCCAGAAGCGAAGGGGGGTGTTGGAAACAATTAACTCTAAGCGCCTCTGTCGTGTCGAAACACCAAGTCAGAAGCGAAGGAAAGCATATCGAAGCACTGGCGAGTCAACCCTTGGAGGTTGAGCAGTTGCTGGAGGTTACGCGAAAGTCAAAGGTCAGCGACCTTTGACCTGACAAGTACAGCGCGACAGCAAGGACACACAACTGACTCGTTACAGAGCAGTTGCCCGAGTCGTCACTGTATCTAACCGCAACAGCAACAGTAAAACAGTTGGAATCGTATCTCTTCGTATTCCCTGTACTCTTATATAATCTTGTATCTCTTTGCTTTAGTCAATCAACTTTGCCCTCACATACTAGCGCAAGGTGGTTCACAACTCTTCATTAAACGCTTCCGCTACTACATCAGTTCTACCCAGAGTTCACCCCTGCAAAGATCCTAAGGGCTTTTCTCAGCCCAACACGTGTTCCTACGCCTCTTATCAAACAAACCTGGTACAATGATTTTCGCTTCGAGTGTTTCAGCGCAATTCGATACGAGCCTGGTAAGAGGTTAGCCAGATAAGGGGCCGTAGGAACACGCCCTGAGATACAAATAGGCAACCCTAACATGCAGTAATATGAACTGCATGGACTGCAACCACGCATGCCTAAGGTTAGTGCTTGCCCATGAATGCTTGCTGAGAATAATAACAGTAAATCAACCAGTACACCAGACAACAGGAAGAATATAGCTTCGCGTTGAACAGCCCACCGGCGGCCTGAGCATACGGTATAATGCTTTCAATAAAAAAAAGGTTGTACAGAGCATAGAGATACATAAATGGAAAACACTATTCTGTATCATAGACCCGTGGGTCTACTACTGTGGAGGTCTTACTGGTATATCCAGGCGATGACCGTAGTATTTGCATCTGACTGCATCCATGCATGCCTCACGTTCGGCCTTGCCACGAATGCTTGCCAATACTAACAATAACAATAACAATGAACCAACTACACCACAAAACAGGATGAATATAACTTCAACGTTGAACGCCCACTTTAGGACAAGACAAATTATGCCACCGGCGGCCCCTGAGCATCTGATCATTGGACGGGTCAACAGCAGACTGCGGTAACCACTGCCACATGGCCACTGGTGCCATCCCTTGCATGCCATCTGGCTTCCTGACAGGCAGAGGTGCCATGTACTGTGACCCTGCAGCAGCATCAGAAACAGCAAGAGTCCCAGCAGTGCCAGCAGTAGCGGCAGGAACAGCAGCAGCAGAATGGGAGTATGCTACGTGACCTGGACCAGGGTGGCTCCCTGATAGGGGATAGCTGCCTTGCATAGGTTGAGAGTGAGGGTGGGAGTGCGGACGAGACGGAGAATGAGACAGAGGATGAACCATCCCACTAGGCATGAACGGCATGGGCATCAGGCCCATGGGTGCACCTCCTGCTGCCTTGCCTGGCTCACACGCCGGATGCATCACCAAGGGAACGGCTTCAGCAGCGCCAGGAGGAGCACCGGGAGGAGAATGAGGAGGAGTTGCTGTCGTCTGGGTGGCTGAGACCACTGATGCTGCCGCTGATGTGGCGGCGGTGGTTTGGGCGGCACCAGATGCAGCCATTCGCCGGACCTCGTCTTCCACATGTTGCTTGTTGGCCAGCAGACGCGCCCTCTCCTCCCTCAGCTCACTCTTCTCCGCCTGTGCACAGGAACAGAGTGCGTATGACACAGTCAAGAGGTGACTTCCGAGTCGAGTCGACCCAAGCGTCTAACATGCCCTCTCCTCCCTCAGCTCGCTCTTCTCTGCCTGAAGAAACAGCACACGACTTGATGAGAGAGACCACTTGATGAATGCCACACACACACTTGCCACGCTTCCCATCTTCACTTGCTCCACGGCCCATGCTGATGTCAGCTGTAATCCAAAAATGGAGAAACCTGTCTGCCCCCACTCACCCTGGAAGTCGCCCGTGAGTTGAGCAATAAGAAGCACAGCAGCCAAGCGGAACGCCATATTATTGCACAGTGTAGTGTTGTTCAGTCACGTGCTGCAGCAGTGCACGCCACTCCACTGCACCCGCTCCACACATCACAACATGATCCATCCACAGCACTCTCTCACCGTCTCACACTACCTTCCATCTCTAACCCCTCCGCCTCCATTCCTCCTACCTCGTTCCCCCCTTCCCCCCCTCGTTTCCCCCCAGCTGCACCTTGAGCTCGCGGATCTGCTCCCTCATGTGCTCCGCGGAGCCTCTCAGCTGCGCCAGCACACCACGTCCGCCAGAATGCTCCCCCTGACTTCACGACGAAACATATTATGCCACCAACGCCCTGACCTTCTGATCAAAGGACGGGTCAACAGCGGGCTGCGGTAACCACTGCCACATTCCCATGGGCGGCATCCCTGGCATGGCATATGGCATGTACTGTGGTCCCGCAGCAGCAGCAGGAGCAGTAGGACGAGCCCCAGCAGCAGTGGCACCACCACCACCAGCAGCGGCAACAACAGCAGCACCACCAGCACCAGCAGCAGCAGAAGCTGAACCAGCTGAACCAGCAGCAGCAGCAGCACCAGCAGCAGCAGCAGAAGCAGCAGCAGCAGCAGCAGCTGAACCCGTACCAGCAGCAGCAGCAGTAGCAGCAGGCCCAGCAGACCCAGCAGCAGTAGCAGGAGGACGGGTGGCAATAGTGTGAGGGTGAGGTTGAAGGTGCGAGTGAGGATGAGAGAGAGGATGAGCCATCAAGGGAAAGGGCATCAGGCCCATGGGTGCACCCAGTGGAGCCAGCTTGCCTGGCTCAAACGCGGGGTGCAGCATCAAGGGAACAGCACCAGGAGAACCCGGAGAGCCAGGAGGAGCACAGGGAGAGTAAGGAGCAAATCCAAGAGGAGGAGTAGCAGCTGTTGGCCGGGCGGCAGAAACCACTGATGCTGCTGCTGACGTGGCGGCGGTGGATTGGGCGGCACCAGATGCGGCCAAGCGGCGGACCTCGTCCTCCAGCTGCTGCTTGTTGGCCAGCAGGCGCGCCCTCTCCTCCCTCAGCTCACTCTTCTCCGCCTGTGCACAGGGGCAGGCCAATGTGTGTAGGAAATAGGGTTGAATACTGAGTCGGTCTGCACACACGGGCAATGCGTGTAGGGCCCCCAGGGCAAAGCGCACAAGGCAGAAAGTGACAGACCGAACGGCACAAGCGTGGCACGAGACCTGATACGAACGGCAGCTCATGGCACCTTCTTCCATGCTTTTACTCCCTCGTATCGCCCCGTTCACCTCCCCCACTCCTTCCCCCAACACCCTCCCCCACTCCCTCGTCCCCTCTCCTTCCCCCAACACCCTCCCCATCCCCCCGCTCGTCCCTCTTCCCCCTAATCCGCACCTTGAGCTCTTGGATCTGCTCGCTCATGTGCTGCGCGGAGCCCCTCAGCCGGCTCGTCTCCGCCCTCAGCTGCGCCAGCACGCGCACCGCGTCCACCAGAATGCTCCCCCTGTCCGCGCGCGCCAGCTCGCTCCGCTCCAGCGCCCGCGCCAACTCCTCAAACCTGCGGTAGGGGGGGGGAGGAGAGGGTGCGTTGGGAACGGGAGGAGAGGGAAGGGAGAAAAAACGCGCGTTGGGCGGAAGGGTGGCGCCGGGAAGTGATGGGCCACAACAGTTACGGACAAGATGTCATCTCTGGCTCCTGTTTGGTCCTGTTTGCTCCTGCCCAGAGACAGCACCAACTCCTCGAACCTGGAGAGTGGTGGCGGAGGGGGAAGGTAACAAAGCACGGGATGCGGAAAACGAGAGGAACGGCAGAGCTGAAAGGAAAGCAATCATAACGGGATGCTAAAAAAGAAGGCGCTGGGAAAGGATGCGGCCGCATTTTTTTCAAGAAAACCGAAAACTTTTCGAAGGAATAACGAGGTGAGCGAGTGATGGCGTATCGACAGCACCCAGCAGCACTGGGTGACCAACCACCAAGCACGCACCTGTCGTTGAGTCGGTCGCGGCGCATCTTCTCCCGATTGGCCTTGTTGCTGTTCGTCTCGCTTGGCTCCTCTCGCTGCCTGGATACACACGCGGGGGACGCAGGGGGGTGTGTGAGGAGAGGCGGAATGCGCCAGGAGAGGGGAAGCAGTGAGGCAGAGTTGTGAGATGCGGAACGCCGAAACATTCCAAAAATCTAGTAATCAGATTTTATTATCCACTAAACACCCATGGGAAATAACGATCGGCCAATAATGAGAACATGGAACGAGTCGATAGCGGCAGAATTGCTTTCATCCCAATGCGGCACGAGTAAACTTCAGGCAAAAAAACTCGCCGTTTATGGGAGGCAGCGCCGCCAGTGCGGTATTCGTCGTCCTTGCGACTGCCGTGCGACGGGTCCTTGCATTGCGACGACAGCACTTTGCATTGCGACGCCGGCTCCTCGTCCGGGGCACGAGTAAACGTCCTGCACAGGGGGGAAGGGGAAACGGGCGACAAGGAGAGAAGCGAGGACCCGTTTGAGTGAGCAACGACGACCCAACCACGGCGAGGAGACACGAAACGGCACCGCAAAGCAGTGGCGCGCTATAGAGTTAGTACCCGTTACAGCGCTGAGTGTGAATTGTAGGCGCAATCGCACGTACCTCTCGGAATCCTGACACGCGGAATCATGCTGCTCGGCCAGCATATTCTCAAGTAGTGTGGAACGCCCGTCACCGTCAACGTGAACGATGACGGAATCCGTCAGGTCGTTCATCCATTGACACTGGCTGGTAGGAAACGACCCAAACAGCGCCGCCATGAGGGTGCGAAAACCGGCGGAGAAGGCGGAAAGGGCGGAACGAAAGGGCTTTCGGCGGAAATAAATTCAGCGCCTGGCGGGAGAGGCGAAAATGACGGTGAACGCGGCGCGAAGCGCTTCGCTGTTTGGCGAGTCGTCGGGTGGATGAGGAAAGTTCGAAGTTTCGTTCAAGTATCTGGTGACTGGATGAGGAGTGACGGGAGGCGATTGGTGACGGGAGGCGATTGTGGTGAGGGGAAGCAGGACGGATGGACAGAAAATAATAGCGCCACTGAGGAGTTGCAAAGCCAAGGTGCGGCGGACTGAAAGCTTGTCAGAAGCGTTCAGGTTTGAGACTAAATCAGTCGAGAATGACGTGATGTAGAATAAGGGTGGGAGTAGAGGCGGCAAGACAAGAAGCACGGTGCAAGGCAGGAGTGTCGCTGTCTGCCGTGCACGTGCGCTCAAGATCGGTTTTGCTGCTCCAGTGACATCATGTTTCGTCTCTCCCCCTGCACATTAGATATTAGATAAAGACCAGATATTGCTGCCGCCACCGCCCTGTAGTAAGGGTGGGATGGGATAACGTCCGACACGTGACGCGACGCGAGCCGCCAACTCAACGACCGTACGATTGGCGGAGCAAGCCACGTCACCCACCTGGTTCACACTAACGAATAGCAGCAAGAGAGAAAGCGATAAGGCAGCAAAAGGCCTCGCCTACAAGCCGCTTTGCAGGCGCCTGCCGCAGCTGCTAGCGCTGCGGTGGTGAAGCGACGTAAAGTAAAGAGTGTAGCGAATCGTCGTGTCGTGGTTGGTCAAGAACGAGGGAGGCGGAAAGGGGAAAGGGGGAAGGTGGGGGGGGCAGGGGAGGGGGAAGGTGGGGGGGCAGGGGAGGGGGAAGGTGGGGGGGCAGGGGAGGGGGGAGGGGTGAGTTGGGGAGGGCTCTGAAGGGGGAACATCCCTCCTCGCTACGTCTTGACTTTCTCCTACACACCTTCTCTCCTCCACACATACCTTATCTTGGCAGATAGTCACAAAACCTATCTGTGCCTATTCGAAATACCGTGTTTTGCTTATGCACCGTCTGAAAACGCTGCGTCGCCTATCTCTTGACGTTGCGCCCCCTTGCTTACTTCTGCCTATTGGCTTACTACGATGAGGTGGCTTTTGCGTGACTCAAAGGTCACTCTCTAAAAGTGGTGACGATGAACCCCAACCAAACCAATTCCCAACGCGCCGCCGCCTTTTCAAGATTCCCCCCCCCCCCCCACTCCCTCCTCCCCCCTCCCCCCTCGTTGGTTCCCCCTCTCCACCCCCTTTCTCCCCTTTCAATTACGACTGTGGGATGGGAATGTGTTTCATCCGCTTTCTTCCTTGCCGGAACTTGAGGATTCCGTGCTAACTAGTGAAGGTTGGGATGGGTGGGTCGGGCCCAAACCAGATCACACCGGGGAACCGAGCCAGTTGTCACCCACTCTAGAGAGGCCGAGGGTTCTCATTGTCTAACCACGGTCCGGGTCCGAACCGAAGGGGGCTGAGCTGATGGCCTGAGCGACGTCATCCAGGGCACACAAGGGGAACCAGTCCAGATCAGACCGGAGAACAGAGACACTATCTCTAAAATACCCCTGCTACAGTGAAGATTAAGCTCCGCGACGACCCGATAACGACAGAACGGCATTTCGAGACAGTTGCCTGTGCTGTGCTGGCAGCAAACAATGCGTGACGCGGATTCCTGATTAGTCCTTACCGAATCCGAAGTGACTGGGGAATCCAAAGTACTTCAAAAAAGCCAAAGCCATCAAAGCTTGGCCGCCCATAGTTCTGAGGTAGCAACTGTAGAGCTGTAACTGCAAAATGCACATTTACGGCTGTATCGAACTGTACACTTCATACTTGCATCAATCAGAAGAAAGCGAATGTAAATGCTACAGTGGAGGTGGTGTAAGTTATTGTTACGGGTGCAATGGAACGAGATAGCGAGGATCGCACTAGGTTGTCAAACTAGTACAAAGTATGTGCGACGGCATGAGCGAATACTTATGTGCGAAACATGCAACGGTTACGATCTAGGTTCGGGCTAGCCCCGAAGTGTAGGCCGACACGGCCGGGCTAGCGGTGCATGGTTTGGTGAATAGAGCGCACGGACGTTGGTGAAGCCCCGTTAGCAGTAACGGACAAACAATGGCTACTGCTGTACGCGATGTTGAAGAACACGCTAAGGAATCAGGGCTGACGATTCAAATATGGCTACCCTGATTACAATCCAAAAAAAAAAAAAAAACAACAAAAACAAAAAAAAAAAACCCTGAAGGCACATTTTCTGCAAAACGCCAAACCTGAGCCTTCTTGCGATGTTCAGTGTTCACGAAGTTGAAAGTCAGAGCTGTCAGGGTTGGCGAATTGAAATCAGGGTTTGATTTTTTTCTTCGTCTTTCCAGTTTGGCGAGAAAAATAGTGACGTGTTTGACGCGAGAAATCTAGCTGGATTGGCTGGAGGGAGTTGTCAAATGTTGTAGCCTTTAGTGATGTGTGTCATATGGGGTACAGCAGTTATGGTTAGGTTTATGTACCCCAACCAACCTTAGTCAAACATCATACAGTTCTTAACAATAGGTTAGGATCCTGTAAGATCCCGTTCCTCCCGCTCACGCCCGTAGTGCCCGAGCCTGTCCCGTACCTTAGTATTAGTCATTCTCGTACCGTTCCCCTAGCGCCCGCTGCGCCTGCCGGTCGCGTCGCGCCCGCTTTCCCCGTCGCGTTGCATCCCCCCCCTTGCCCGTCCCGTCCGTCGCGTTGCGCCTGTCCGCCGCGTCGTCCCCGTCCCGTCTGTTCCGTCTGTCGCGTCACCCCCGTCCGTCGCGTCGCGTTCGTCCCGTCCGTCCCGTCGCGTCGCGTCTGTCCCGTCCGTCGCGTCGCGTCTGTCCCGTCGCGTCTAGCCCGTCACGCCCGTCCAGTCTGTCCCGTCGCATGCGCCGTGCCTGCCCGTCCCGCAGCGCCACGCCACGCCGCGCCCGTCCCGTCATGCCTGCAGCGCAGCGCCAAGCCGCGCGCGTCCCGTCCTGCCTGCCGCGCGGCGCCGAGCCGCGCGCGTCCCGTCCTGCCTGCCACACAGCGCCACGCCGCGCCCGTCCGTCCTGCCTGTCGCGCAGCGCCGAAACGTGTCTCGTCCCGTCCCGTCGTGTCGCACTGCCCATCCTGCCGTGTCGCTCTCTACGCTGACGTCCTGCAGTGCCCTGAGCCTCACGCACTGCCTGTCACGCCCTACTCAGGCCCTTTAGGCGTTTAGGGTTTCGGAAGCAGCAGTTCCCACCTATTCACTTCCGCTATGGCGACCCCTAGGGTCCTGCGCTTTGACGCCAAGGGTAGGCCGCTCGAGTTCTCGGTCTGGCTCCTGCGTGTGCTCCGCCTCCTAGAGATCCAGGTTTAGGCAGACGAGTCTCTGTGGGCGCACGATTCCTGCGCTCTCCGACCCTGCAACCTTAGGCGCTGACGCCAGCGCTGCAGACAGAGACCGTTATGCATGCCAGCGTGCTGACCTGACAGCGTGAAAGTCGCGTGACGCTGCGGCCTGCATCGCCCACAGCAGCCTCCTCCCTAAGTCTGAGGAGACCCACTTCACTCAGGTTCGCAGTGCTAGTGAGTTCCTGACTACGAGCAAGGCCCGCTACGCTACTCTCGCCACTGTCTCTCTTGGTCGACTTTTCCTCCCGTTCCTATTTCCTAACCTCGCCTCGTTTAAGCACTCTGCTGACTTGATCGCTCACCTGCGCTCGCTCGATTCTAGCTACCGCACTGCCTGCACAGACGCACAGCTTGCACTGCTCCCTCCCCCCATGGCGATTACTATCTATTTCATCGCCACTATCCTCCCTGACCGCCTTGCCTCGGTTCGTGACGCGCTTCTTCTGAAGCACCCTAGAGAGCTCACTATCGAGGTCCTTGAGTCCGCCCTCAAGGACGCCGAGAGCAACCTCCGCTCGGTAGCCTCCGCCTCTGGTGCTGTGCCCCCTCCACTGTTTCACGGGTGCACTGTCCCTAGGCTGCGCACCTTTACTACCTCCCTCGCCACTGCCGCTACTGACGTGACCGCAGCTGCTGTTATGACTTCTTTGTGGTCTAGGGGTAGGAGTGGCAGTAGGGGCGGTCAGGGTGCGGGCGGAGGCGGCGGCGGTGGCGTGGCGAGCGGCGGTGGCGGGAGTGCAGGAGTTGGAGAAGCGCCTCGTGCAGCGGCTAGTGACTCCCCTGCTGCAGCTGGTGGAGGTGACGCTCGGGTACGTCAGGCACCTGCTGGACTGCCAGCTGCAGGTACTGGAGTGGCGGCTTGGTACCTAACCCAGCCACAGCAGCAGCAGAGGCAGCAGCAGGTTCCGGGGCAGGGGTCAGGACCTATCAGCAGCAGCAGGTCTCAACCTCAGCTGTCGCGCGGTGCCGTCCACCCTCCCTGCACCTATCTCGTCCAGACAGGTACTCGCCGAGGCCTCTCCTGTGGCCGCAACCACACCCCGGGTCAGTGCTTTGCTCAACTCACTGACACTCTTCGCGCGGCCTACGTCGTCTACGGCCCTGCCTCTGACTGGCTTCCTTTTCTTCACTCGCACGGTGCTGCCCAGTGGGGCATGTCTGCTTCTCAGTTGCTTTACCTATGTATGCTGTTGTTGACTCTAGTGCTTCTGACTCTGTTTACTCGAGTGCTTTTAGCTGAGGTGCTAGTATTGCTAAGGTGCCTGTTGCTAGTGTAGGTACTTGTGTAGACACTAGTCCAGGAGCTGCTCCGGAGGACGCTTCGCTGTCTTTCACTCTGGACCCGGGAGCTTCGCACTGTTTCTTCCGCGACCACACGACGCTTACTCCGCTTCCTGCGCCGGTCTTTGTAGCACTGGCTGATCCCACTTCGGGACCAG